TAGCCCCCTCCGTGACCATATAACCCAGAGTCTCCCAAGAAAAATACCACACAGAAAGCTACTTCCAAGTAGAATACCTCCAGGTCATGTCCTAATGTGACTATCTGTATTTGCACCACCTCAACTGTACCTCCTCAAATAGTGTGGCCTGTGCTTAATAAATTGGTTCAAATCCATAACCTGTGGTGCTGCTAGCACCATGAAATTGTCTCAGTGGGCCAAAGGGCTCCATCTCTCCTAGATGATTTGTAAAGAGTCTGGGTTTCTCTCTGAGCTTCCTACTCATTGTACTGATGACACAGCTGGCAAATCTTCCCTCAGCCTACCGGCTGGACCAAGTTATTTATCTACCTTCCTTTCACTGCATTCTGCCCTTCTGCAATGAGATTTTGCACAGTACAGATTGAGAGGCAAGGTAGGAGAACAGGGCTGCTGGGACCCAGGTATGATAACTTTCCACCTGTGTCCTGTCCCCACAGGTGGCACCTGTGGCCTTTGCACAAAGGGTTCCACTATGGGGACCTTGGTTGTGTCTCTGCTCCTTTCCTCCCTCAGGACTCAGCACAGCACTAGGCTGTGCAGTTAGTGACCTAACAGAAGGTTTTAGCATGAACAAGCACCATTACCTGAGTGCTTAGCATGCAGCAAGATGTTTATATTTTATTCCTTATCAAATCTCCAGCCACATGAACACCCGCTGCTGATGTGCGTTCTCCTCTGATGGCTCACAGCTCACATCTTGGTGAAGGCTGTTGGCCAGTGCAGACTTTTCATCCCTTAGCCAGGGATAAAATAACTCACAGTCAGCATCCTCAGATCTTAGGAGGCAGCAGTGGGTCTTTTGCTTGCAACAGGTGAGACTGAACCTGCGTGCAAAATTCCTTGCAGGACAGACAGAGCAAGAGAGTTCACAGAGCCCCTCTCCTCTCCTCTGCCCTTCCGCCAGCTCTGTTTTGCTGAGCTTTCTAAATATTTAATACCATGCTAATTTCCCCCTTCAATGGCACTTCTGCTCCAGCGAGACGTACAGAAGTCATTCTGCCAATATTTAAAATAAATGAGGGTGTTATTGTATGTAATACATTTGTATTGTTTAGGGTTATTTTAAACTCAAAACTCATATTTCCTTCTAAGTGAACTTCTTCATGTTTAAAGGGAGTAACAAGAGCAAGTAATGAGTTCATGTTCTTCCCAAATTCCAATTCTAGCTAACAAGAAAGCGTAGGATTTCTCGGCCCAGAGTCACCAAGATGACATGTGTTGTAATCGCCCTGAGAGCATTCCCTGAATATTGATAAGGTAAACTGTGGTTGAAAAAATAGCCTCCAAAAACTCAAACACAGGAGCAAGACTGTCCCAATATATTACTAAAATTTGCATTTGTCCATGGTTTAACATTCTTGATTTTCTTTTAGCTGAGCCCCCAGATTACAAATAATCTTTTCCTCAAAACACAGCTTTCTACTCCAATCCATACCCATTTCAGAATCGATTCCAGCACCATTAGACCTGGCTCAACTAGGGAAATAAGGATTTCTCAGAAAGCCAGCTGAGGAAGACTTCAAGATTGTTGCATTGAAGCCCTGGTTTTATTGGCAAGAAAATAAAGATGAGTAAGAGAAAACCCTTTGCCCACATCATCCATGTTGGTCTGAGACAAAACTCTGCCCCCTTTGCAGTGTCCAGCTGGACAGCGTTCAGGATGCATATGGTTTTCATCTACTGTATGTTCAAAACAGATGTCCATTTACTCACAAATTTTCCTTTACAAAAATATGTTTGTTTATAAATCTGAGTGACCCAGAACTCATGTCAGTTCTCACTCTGTCATGGATTTTCCTCTTTTTTTTTTTTTTTTTTTTTTGGTCTTTTTGAGACAGGGTCTCACTATGCAGTTCAAGCTGGCCTTGAGCTCACTTTGTAGCCCAGGCTGGCCTCAAACTTGCAACTATCCTCCTGCCTCAGCCTTCCAAGTGCTGGGAGTACAGGTATGCGCTACCACACCTGGCCTGGATTTTCCTCTTATATTTATCTCTTTTAAGAATGTACAGAATGGTTATACTGTACATAAAGTGCATAAGTCTTTTTAGGACAAAAGTTTTGCTGTCATATGCACTGAAAATGTTTCGGCTAATATTAACTATAAGAAAGAAAGAATTTTATCTCTTTTTTGCCTAAACCTAAGAGAATATGGATCCTCAGTATGCATACACACTCTACCACTTCCTTCAACAAACAAGCCTTTTCCCAGAGTTACTTCATATTTTAAAAATATCTCCTGTTTGTTTTGTTTTGTTTTGTTTTATTATTTTGCTTTATCTTGTTCTGGCTTGGCTTGGCTTGGCTTGTTTTGTTTGTGGTACGGGGGGTGGAACCGGGGTGCTCTACCACTGAGCTACGCTCATAGCCCCTCTTATTTTGAAGCAGAGTCTCACTAAATTTCCCAGCTTATCCTTAAGCTTATGATCATCCTGCCTCATGCCCCAGAGTAGTTGAGATGACAGGTGTGTGGCACCGTGCCCTGTAGACCCAAGACTTCGTAATGTTGAGAAGATACTGTGTTTGGCAATAAGTGACTGATGATGGGGTTTTTGTGAAGAACTGAGCTCCCCAGCATGTGAGAGAAAGGGAACAGGGACCAGCTGCCATGAGAGGCTGAGGAAATGCCAGGGATGCTCAGACAGGCAGGGGGACATCTGCAAGAGGGCTGTGCACTGCTTGCTGTCTTCACAGAAGATCTGTCACCCACACCCATCCTCACCCACTCTTCTCAGACTCCTCATCCCCTCCCAGCCCCACCCAGGCAGCTCCACCCATACTCTGCTGAGAACTTCGAATGAGTGAGAGCGCCCTTGTGACTGCGTGCTCTCATCACTAGGGACAGCTTTTATTGGTTTAACATTCATGGTATTTGACACAGGCTGAAGGTGTCTTGTCCTCAGAAAGTATTCCAGTAAAATAGAGTACAAAGTGACCTATAGAAAATTAACACCCCCCTAGTATCTGGAAAAATAATTCCATTTCCAAACACACTGTACCTTCCAACCTTAAGACTTCCCAGTGACTATGCTTTTGAGTTGAATTGTTTGTCTTTGGATTCCACTTTAATGATGGCAACCAATAGCTCCTTAGCCTTTTAGACATTCTCAGTTATATCTTAATATTGGCAAAAATAAAGCACAGAGTCTGCACGGCATTAAAACTACAAAAGTGGCCTTTACTCAAAACTTAACACTGGCTAACAGAAACGATCAAGAGCTATTTGAAAAGAAAAATTCTTCTAATATCCTGAAATATACTCCCAGGCCATAGATCCTTCAAGAAACTTAATTTTAGGAAGAATGTAAGACACAAAATGTAAGACACAATACAAAAATGTAAGACACAACTGTAAAACACAAAAAATGTAAACATAGAACTTAAAGAAGAAAATCAACTTTCAACCAGAAATATTATTTCACTTGAAAACTTTTCTAAGATCCATTATACTTTAGAAAAACACAAGCCTCTCCTGCAGGGGCAGAGACAACAGCCCTTTCTCTGGAGAGCATCTGTCAAATTAGATGCTTAATAACAATTGATTTGATTTGATTTGATTTGATTTGATTTGATTTGATTTGATTTGATTTGGGGAGCTTTTGAAAATTCAGAAGATGTTTTTGGTGTTGATCCCAGATATGATCTTGATATTAGATTGGTTTCAGTGGCATGAAAAATAAGGTGGAAATTCACGATTGCCCCTGGGACATGTGTCCCCGGTCCCGGTCCCAGTGGCCCAGTGCCATCCAGCCTCAGTTCCCTCACCCAGAATTTCCTACAGAGCTGCTCAAGGAAGGGGACACCATCAGAGCTGAAATGCTCTGAGGCCCCTTTCGACCTTCTGCCTCTGTCTCCTTCTTTCCCCTTAGAGGGGCCAGTCACAGAGAGAGATTAGTTACAGAGAGAGCTAGTTACAAAGACAGACTAATTACAGGGAAGGATTAGTTATAGAGAAGGACTAGTTACTGAGAACTAGTTGCAGAGAAAGGGACGCAGCCATGCTCTGAAGACCCAGCCACCGCCTGCAGCTCAAGGCTTGAAGATCTAAATGGCTTCTCCACTAACAACAGCCCTGGGATCAGAGCAAAATGACCTAGCCTTTTACAGGCAAGTTACTTCCACCTCCCTCGTCTATAAACATCTGAAGTTGGACGTAATCTCCCAGGCCTCTTCCAGTTCCCAAAACCCATAATTCAGACTGCTCATAAAAAATAAATGTAACTCTGGGATGCTCATTTTCCAAAGTAAAGTTGTAAAGGGTCTGGACTTTTTCATTAGCAAATGCCAGAATCTATCCAGAACTTTGTGGGTACTTCATGAATATTAAACAGTCGATTTTATCTTTCATCTGCAAAATGGGGTGAGTAATGCTGACTTGCCTCCCAGAATTTCGTGTGAGAAATAATAAATGAGAACAAAGCACTTTTCAGATAATGAAGTAATTCAAGTAAGCTGCTTTAATAGGTCTGAGGCCTGGATGGATGATGCAAGAATAAAGTGCAGTTTTTATTATTACATCTATGAAATACAACACTCTTTTCATCTGTTTAAGAAGAAACAGTCATTATCCTCGCTTATCACCAAAACATCAGCTGAGTAATTTCTGTGCAAATGGAATTTTTTGTACGATTTTAACATCTATCACTTTTAACAAAATGCGGCTTTTATCTGTACCTGATATCAAAATGGAATCCTAACTTGATTTAACTGGTTTAATGAGGCATTCCATCAGTGTTATACTACTCTGTCCAAAGGAAATGTTTCTCTGAAATGACTGATAAACTGCACAAATGAGAAAATTACAAATGTAATAATCCTCCCACTCAAAAATAATACATTCAGGAATTGTTACTAAGGGAAATGATTTGTTGCGTTCTAGCTTCCTGGAGCAGTTCATGGTATGCTTGCTTTTTTAAAAGGTTTATGTCCAATAAGTAATAGGTTCTATATTTTGTTTACAGTTTTCCAACAGAAGACAGCCAGAAGACAGTCTGACAGTGACAAGTTCCATGGTCTTCCTAAGAAACCAGGTACTGACACCAATTTCCTTTTATTTCATAACCGTTAAGTAAGATTTAAAGAAATCTTGTGAACAATGAAGAAAGCCTCCTGTACAGTTGATTAATTTTACCCTGAAGGTAGTGTCTTGCCCAAATAGAATTTGGCTATAATAAGATCAATGAAAGAAAATTATTTTAATTAACAAAAGCAGGAAATGGCCTTGTCCTCGGCCTTGTGGTACTATTGCTGGTATTATTAGGGCCCCAGGAGGGCCAGTGAGGCAGATATGCTAACATCAGATCCTGTAGACCTAGAGGCCGGGATGGCTGGTAGAGTTGGGTCCCCACAGTACAGTTTTCTGTGCTCTGCTCCAAATGCCAATCAAAGGTTGCACCTGCTCCCCGTAACTCTCTTGCCTTTAGTCCCTGATTCAACATATTCTGACCAATTATTCATAATGACCAAGGGGCAGGAAATGACAGCCTCAGAAACCACTCACACAGTTGGGACATTTTCTGCCTCCTGTTTTCCCTGAAACATTTGTCACCTTTCAGAAAGAGAGACTCCAGCAGATTGTCTATTAGGAGGGTTTTTTTTTCTGAGAGTCAAGGCTGACATCATAAATGTGGTGGGGGTGGGGTGGCTGTCCATGATAACCAGCAAGCCTATGCAGTCCCACCTCTAAAGAAGCTTCAGTCCTAAATCTTGCTGCCTTGAAATCGCTACTACAGAATCATTGAGAGAACTTAGCATAGACCCAGGCAGTCTTGCACAGCAGACCCTCCCTTTGTGCCACCTGGGCAATGGTGAGGGTCAGAGGTGCCCACTCCTGACCCCTGCTTGGCTCCTGAACACAGGACCTCAGAAGACCGGCTCAGTGACACTGCAACCATCCCCCAAGCTGAGCCCCTCAGGAGTGACCCTCACCACCAGTCCCAGAGCACTTCCCACCGCAGCCCATTGTACTCTCTAGCAACCAAGCTGGTGATGTTTGAATGCATACACAAGGGAGCTGAACTTCTGTTCTCTCAGGAGTCCTGTGGATATACTCTCGCACATTTACATGCCAAGAACTCTATTTTGCTCTTTTCCATTTTAAACGAGTTTGTATTGGGGAAGAGGTAGAAATCTTTCAAGTCTGTTATCCTCCCACTGTGCCTTTAGCTCGCTCAAGAAATAAATGCAAAACTCCATGTGAGATCTTTGTACAATAAGGATCAGAACAATTCTTAAAGAATTACACGAAGTAGATAAGATCTTTCTCCCCCACCCACTTCACAGACTTTTGTAAAGAATAAAGAGCAAGTTGCTGTGAGCTTTAGGGAGAAAATGTCCCTGAGGCATTTTTCTTGTAGCATCATGTTTTTAATTAAAGTCTGTTAGAATTAAGGGAGAAAGAGCGATGAAGGAGAATGACAAATGTCAAGTGTGGCAGAAGCCCCCAGAAGGTGTGATATCGGCTACCTGAGGCTCTCTCAGGAGCAGTGCTGGCCAAGGCCCAGGAGCCAAGGAGCCTGAAGACTTGATCAGGGTTCCGCACATATGAAAAATAGTTCCATCTATATGCAGATGAAAGGAGAGAGCAGGGAGCAAGCAGTTTTATTGATTCATATCTTATTGCAAAATTTTTGAATCAAATCCAGCTGTCACTAGATTTTGAGAACTCTTTGGGGCACTAGGATGGTCAAAATTTCAATCACTTCATCTAAAATTGTTTTCTCTTTTCTCCTGTATGCTGGAAGGAGAAGCACCTACAGGAGCCAACTATCTCCCTGGAGGAATAAGCATTTCAGATCCCCTGAGTTCAAGATTGCCAGGGATTTGCCAGGAAGTGACCATATTGCTAAGCCAGGGAATTTTCCTGAGAACAGAAAAAAAATTCTTTGGCAAGAATTTTATGGAAACTCCACATAATTATCCACCTCAATTTTTACATCTTGAAAAAAATAAGGAAAAGTGCTAAGGACTGTGGATCACAGACAAAAATTTTCCATCAAAATACCATTTCACAAATCGATTTTCTCAAGTTGGTTTTAAAGTTTTAAAATGTCAGTGTGCTGTCACAGAACAGGCAGCCTCGGCACATCCACCCCACTTCCCAAAACCCAGCCTCCCAAGCAGGGGAGGAAGCCAGAGTCCTGGGCTTCTCTGCTTCGGTTCAGCAGGGTTTTGCAGCCTGAGTTACGTTAACCAAGTTCATGGAGAACTGATTTATAACCCAAGCTACTAAATCCATAATAGGGAAGATTCCTTCCCAGCAACTAGAAGAGCTGTGTTCATTTGGCTTTTGCCAAACAATAAAATGTGCATAACGGGTAACTAGCAGCTCAGAGACCACTGAGCAAACAGGATCGAGTCAAAAGAAGCTAGAGTGCGAGGCCCCTTCCTTCTGCAAGGACACGGAGTGCTCCTACTAATTTCCTGCTTTGTGACATCAGACGATGGTCTAGGGGCTACATTTTTCCTGCTTCCCAGCCTGTTGTGGGCTTCTCCTGGTCTATACAAAGGGGCCTTTTTGGTCTCCACCAAGATCAGCCCGGTTTTACTAACATGTCTTACTACAGATAGGTCACATGGCAGTGGATTGGGTTCACAATTAGCAGGTGGGCTTTGCTGTCATCATGGGCCTCTCCACCCGCCTCATAGACCTCAGTTAAACAAGAAGCCACAGGAAGGTGCTCTGCTGTTGGCCTCTAGGGGCGCACTTCCCTTGGGCAGGGCTAGGTGAGTAGAGCTGATCACCTGGACTCTAGACCAGCTCAGGGACCATCTGAACAACTACTAAAGTTTGTCGCCGAAGTCCTGCATTAGACATAGACTAAAAGAAGAACAGATGAAAGTGGTTATGATAATATTAAAAATAATCCCCAAACCAACAGATATAAAACAAAATCCCACTCTCTACAAAAAAAAAAAAAAAAAAAAAAAAATGTGTTCCAGAGGCCACTGTGGTCAGTTTAGACCATGTTATTTTGCAAAAATAACCTACACAACATAATTTTTGTTGCCAATATTTAAGATCATGCTTCACATAAAAGTTCACATTTTCAATTATGCCTTACTATATAAATGCATCATTTGACAAAAAACTTTTGCTACTTATCAGTCTTTCCTTGTCATTTCCTTATCACTTTCTTATTTTTGTGACATATTTTTTCTTTTGTGACACATTTTCTTATTTTATGACACATTTATCTAGCATCAAGTGTGAAAATAAATGGTATATCAAACGTGATAGTTAATTGATTGTGTAAAGTTAAGTAAAAATCCTAACTAGATTGGCTTAGCATAAACATGGGTGGGGAAGACCACCCTAGGCAGAATTGTCACCAGAATGGTGTAAGAGGTTCATGAAAAAGGAAGGCTCACTTCTCCTTCTTCAGAGGAGCTCAGGTCTTCACCTTCACCATGGACGTTATCTCCTGGCTTCCACGACAGGCTCTTCAGCCTCTGAATATGGACTCACACAGGATACTACAGTCACTTCCAGGCATTTGACTGAATCTTTCGGATCTTCAACATGTAGACAGACCTCTTGCACTGTTCCACGTCTGACTTTGCGGGCAGCCATTATGAGCCAATCTTGTACATTCTTATATATTTGTGTATCTTGCATTAAATCTGCTTCTCTGGTAAGCACTGATTGATACATCAAGAGAGTCATGCTATCAAGAAGAAAAGAGAGAACGTGTTTGTCATGACGAGGCCTATTCTAATGTACCTTGTAAGCAGGCACCCTAACTTCTTGCCCTGGATTTCCTCTGCTCCACCCCTGCAGGCTGTAAGTTTGCCCCATCCCCGAGGTCCCTCCCCACAGTGCCCCCAGAACTACAAAGTCATCATTGGCTGGACTTGGGGGGCGGTGTGAATGCCCAAGGGAGAGATAGAGTTTTATGTGCTCTCCAAGTGCCTGGTGCCGCCGCCATTTGATAAATGTTAAATAATAAAATTGTCTGGCAGCAGAGACTTGGGAAATGTGCAGGTATTAGGCTTTGAGGGAGAGAGAACACTGATCTCCGAGGTATTTTCATCAGGCTGTTTTCACCAGTCCTGGATATATTAAATAGAAAAGAGAAAATTTCAAAATGTGGTCATTTGTACTCCATAAAAGAATAATGGCCCCAGCTCCCTTTTCCCAGAGAACTTCCATTTCCATTTGTCATATTGCTCACAAAAGTTTCTTTGCTTTCTTTAAAAAAATTTTTTTGCTAAAGTTACACCTGAAAAATATTGTGTAAGAGCTGAGTTCTTGCCTGCGGTAATGCTGTTAGCAAACCACAGTGTGGTCTCTTGCAGAAGGCATAAGAAAGATAAAATTCTTAATAATCATGAACACAGAAGCTGGAAAACAGGCTTGCTTGAATCTGCAACTAGCTCTAATTAATTCTAAGTTTGAACAAAAGTGGTTGAGACACCCCTACAGTAATCTGTGTCTACCTCTACTGCCTGGGAGACAAAGCCAGCTAGAGCACAGAAGGTGACTCTCAAGCCTCCTGGCCCACTGACCCACTGTCTCCCCGCTACTCCAGTGCTGCTGTTGGGGTGGGTACCGCTTCCCTCTCTGTGAGGAGCATAGGGCATGGATCACCATGGATTTCCCCAGCCTGCACTCCTCAAGCTCTGCGTCGGAAAAGTGGGCAGCAAGGCGCTCTGTCAGTGACCAGGGAGGTTCAGGCACATGGGCCATACACCATGACATCTCCATGGTAAAGCTGTGGGAGCTAAAAGCCTGCTGGACTCTGGGTCTTGAGATGTGAACTGCTCTTGTCACTGGGAAACTGTGATCTGAGCATAAGACCCAAGACCAAAGGACAAAGCAACACTGAATACGTTAGTGCACAGCGATTCTGCAGAGGAGTTCGCTTTCAAACAGGTTGTAGAAGAAAGAGAGCAAACATAAAGTGCGAGCTTCAAAGCATACTCCTAAGGAAGGAACTGCGCACAGAGAAGACTCCAGTCACATTTCTGTAAATGACTTATTTATGTAGGAAGTGAGGGTGCCGGGTGTCTTTCTGAAACATGGAGGTGTCAACATGGAGATAAGAGGGAATGCATAACAGGACTTTTCAACCATCAGGTTATAATTGTTGAAATCTGAAGCTTTTCATAAGTAACTTTTTAGAAAATGTTCTAAGGCAATAACTCTAAAACATGCGAATTTCTTTGAATGTTCAGTTATTTAACTGAAACTGAAATAACCACCTTAAGTCAATACTAGATATCTGGTACCAATATACATGAGCCAAAAAGAAAATTTTAGGAACTCGTGCACTTGTACACAGATTCAAAGTAGAAAAACAGTAGTAGCAGAGAATCAGGGACCCACGTCTGGATAAGATGAAATCAAAATAGATTCGGGATATATTGGAGAACTGACAGGGTGTTATTCACTGTTGGACAGGAAGAAAAGGTACTGGGCAATGAGAAGAGTTATGGTAAGAATAAACTAAGAACTATAACTTCAATACGAAATTTAAAAAATAAAAACAACTGAGCAAATTCTTAAAAACTGTTAAGGCAAAGAGCAAATTAAAATGCAATTATCTATATAGAAAATAGCTGTCCAACCTACCTCTATAAACAAAGCTAACTTTATATCCTTCACAGTTTTCATTATTGAGAGAAGAAACTAGGCATTCTACTATCAAAACTTAATGACACCAATGAATTAAAGATAATAAAAGTTGAAGATTAAAAGTGGAATTTAAAGGATCAATAGTTGTAAAAGCACAAGAAATGTTGGCTAAATCTGGAAATATATTTTTTTAAAAATGAATTAGCAAAGGCTATAGCAAATCTGATTAAGAAAAAATAATCAAAACAAAATCAGTCATTAATTTAAAAAATGAAACAGAAAAATTAAAGGAATAAAAAATCAGTTCTAAGATGAAACAGAATGCAAAATTTTTCTCATATATAATGATATGATTCTTTTAAGGCAAATGTTAATTAATAAGATTATATCATAATAAAATAAAATTTTAAATAATAGATTAATAACCAAGGAATATTTGTGTCAGTTTAGCAATAGAAAACCAAGTATAAATTTTATCAGTAAGTTATGTCAAATTAAAGTAAAAGGGAAATTTTATATTCTATGAACTATCTGATGTGGAAATAATGTATTATACTACCTATTTTATTCCAAAAATTTGTGATTTTCTTAGCTAATGGTAAAGATAACTATTATTCAACTATTTGTGATTTTTAAAATCTTACAAATTAAGTGAAAGAGAAATTTATCAAAATGACCAAGAATAAATTATTAGTTTAAGAGTAGAGTTATTCCTATTGAGTCTAGAAACAAGATAAGGATAATGTTTACTTAACATTATTCTGGAAAGTTATGATAGCATTAATAGCATGAATCTAAAATAATAAAGTATCCATTAGAAAGGAGAAGATTCTCTTTTCATCATTTCTGGGTGATATCTATGTATGCCTAGAAAATTTAAAAGAATCAACTGTAACACTCTTAAAATTATTTAAAACAATTGCATATAGTCCAGAAATGATTTGCTTTTTTATATGCCAGCTTTACTTATTGGAAGATACATGAAAGGAAAGAATTCTTTTACTATGCATTCAAAAGACAACAAATTACCTATTAAAAATCATTTTCCTGTGGAGAGGTTAGTCTCAATTCTCCCTAAAATAACTTGAAGATTTAAGGAAATCCTACTCATTTGGAAAGGATTTTTTTCTCCTTTGAGAAGAGAAACAACAGTTTGGAAGAATGTTTCTAAATTCATACAGAAGATGGATAATTAAAAGGAACAAAACAGTGATCATTTAGGAAAATAAAAAGAGCGAGGCAGGGCGATCTGACATATGTAATATCAAAGTCTGTTATTCAAAAGTGTTTAAAGCTCCAGTAGTCAGTGTTAGGTTGACATAAACATTACTAATAATGAGAGCAAGGTTCAAATGACAAACTCTTACAACTCTTACGCTTTTTTAACTTAAGCAATACAATATATTAAAGTGCAGCAATGCAAGCACTTACCCTACTGTTGAGAATATAAATGACAGCACACTTCCAGGAAAGTATCTTAAAACTATTCCTACTCAAAATTTACACACTTAGGATTCTATCAAAACAAAATAAACAATAATGCTGGCAGTGATACACGTGAAAGACTTTTAAGAGTTGCAACACATAATTGTGGTACAAAATGAAAACAGTTTTTAAAAATCCAACAGTAGGGCCGGGGATATAACTCAGCAGCACAGCACCTGCCTGGCAAGCAGAAGGTCATGAGTTCAATTCCCAGTACCAAAAAAAAAAAAAAAGAAAAACTCCAGCAGTAGAATAAATAGTAGCTTGAATAAACAAACTTTGGAATTTGCCGCTATTTAAAATCATATCAGTAAGAGCCGGGTGTGGTGGTGCATGCCTGTAATTCCAGCACTCTGGAACCAGAGGCCGGAGGATAGAATCCTTGTGAGTTCGAGGCCAGCTTGGATTACATAGTAAGCTCAAGGCCAGCCTGAAGCACATAGTGAGACCCTGTCTCAAAAACAAAAATATATCAGTGACATGGAAAGATTCTTAGGCCATAAGTCTAACAGAAAAGAGCAGTAAGCGTATCACTACAATCCTAATTCAAGAAAAACAGAAAGAAATGTATACTTAAGAAAGAAGAAACACTAAGAGGTTAACAGTACTTCTTTCTGAAGAGCATGTTAGTGAAGAGAATCACCAGGGTTTTTATATTTCTTTGTAATTTCTAAGTGTTAGGGGACTATTACATCCTAAAATCGCAGTAATTAAAATGAAACAACAGAGAATATGTTCAGCCTTTACGCTCAGAGGATATGGAGATGTCAGAGGATGACAAGGAACGTTTGCCAAGTTCCTCTTACCTGACACTGCAAAGCCTATTTACCCACTGACACTCACACTAATAATACAGGTGGCCAGAGTGAAATCTTGATCAGAGTTTAAGTCCCATTACTAAGAAGTTATTTGCAGTTCTCTGCAATTGCTGCAAAATGATTTGGTATGATGATATGGTTCACAGATGCTTTAATCCCTTTAGCAGGACAATAAGCAAACTTGGGAGGCCTGACATGATGCCCACACAGCACGGTGCACCTGGCTCAGGCTGGGATGGCATTCATCCCTCAGGAAGCTGCCAGCAAAATGGGGACATTTTACTTACTGTAAAATCAGTACAGCATTATTGCAGAAAGCTGGGACTTGGGCAGAAATAATGATATCATCACCCTGGAATGACTTGTATCATCTTTAAACTTTTTCTTTTAGCACTTAATTATCTGTACATCTTTGAGACTGTTAGATGGTACAGTTTGTATACAGTGTTGCCCCCTGCTGCTGTCCTTGTCCTTATACTATCAGCTCTGTCTGTATTGCAATGTGGTCTTCATTATTATGATTTTAGTAGGTAGCTGGTATTTACAAAGTAGCTCTTCCATATCGGTCTTGTTACTGGCTAACAACAAGGCCAACTAAGTCATTTCTGTTCACAGTTTTAGTAAAAATGTTCTTCTGTCACTTGTTAATGAAAGGATTTGAGTGAAAAGTGTCCTTACTAATTTACAGATTCTGATAGTCGTCAGAATGAATTGTTTGTTTTGGATCAATATTTGTTAAAATAAAAAAATATTGTAAATAGAAACTGATCCAAAAGCAATTTAAACT